ATGAGTCTAACAAGGGATACAGGCCTCGGAAAAAATAGCGAACACTCATGCCACATTCATCTGTGAACGCCTCCCCCTCCCCCCAATGTTCAAAGTTGGCGGTGGGTCTGATGAGTTGCACCTCGACCGCAGTCTCCCCCCCGCGTGCCAACTTTGAGTTTGGGGGGCAGGGGGGTTGTTCACTAATTGTTTCCCTCTACCGTATGTCGACCCCTATGCCAGGGTTCGTGGGGCTTTTGAGTAGACCGGAAATGTGCGGCCTAACCCTGCGAGTGTTCGATCCCTCCTCACCTTCACTTTCTCAGCGCGGTTCTGGGAGAAGTAAAAAAGACAACGGAGGGATAACGAAAGCGGCAAGAACGTGTAAATAGGGAACGTGTGCGCGCAGCGTGGCCGCTATATTCGGTCCACGGAGGCCGTGGAGCCGATCCCGCCTCAGCCTCCGTGAAGACTCTAGCCTTCTCCGAATGAAGGGGCCCAGGGACACACAAATACATAGACACCAATCCCGGGATCCCCCGTATCTTCCAATCTAGAGGTTCGCCTTCCCTCCATACTTCCCATATTTTAGCTTATTGTCAGGGGAATCGACGAGTCTTTTGTGCCTGTGTTTTTTCCTCTCCTCAGCCACCCTCGCCCTGCCACCGACCGAAATCAGCCCAAGCGTAACCCGAGAACCCTCCGAGGGTTCAGTCTGGCCTGTCTGGCCCGCGCTGCGTCCCCGTCGTGGCGACGAGGGGGCCCCCCCGAATGGCGAAACGCTTGCAGAGTGATTGCGGGGAGGCGGGCCGCAACTGCAGCAATGGCAGAGAGATTGAAGAGCAAAAGGGGGGAGCGATTGCAGAGCGATTGCGGCGAGGCGGGCCCCCCTCTTGCGCGCCGCCAGATGGGCTTGTGGCCCTCCGAGATCTTCAGGCCCGTGGTCTGCTTCTCGGAGTACTGCGAGGTGTCCAGGACCTCCGCCGGCCAGTGCCCTCCTTCCCCGCTTCCCCTTCCTCCCCCTCCTCCGGTTTCCACGGAAGCACAGCTCGATCACATCCGTCGGAATCGAGCTGAGGCCAAGGAGCGGCGCAGATGCCGCATTGCCCCTCGGTCATTCACTCCGAACCCCTGGCCCGAAGAGGCCTGAGCATCCCCCATCTCTCGTGGCCCCCCAAACGACCCGACAGAGAGCGAAAAGAGCATGCCTGCACGGCGCAGCCGTCGTCCGCCGCCGCCTCTGGGGTGGCCCCCGAGAAGGCTCCAGACACCTTCACATGGCCTTCGACAACCCCCCTCGGGCTTCCAGTGTCGCCGCAGGCCGAGCAGAGGACTGCTGCTGCTGTTGTGCACGGCCTCGGCCTCTGGGGGGGCCCGCCGCGGCCCCCCCCCGCCAAGCCCAGGGAGCATCAAGAAGCGACCTGGGGCGGAGAACTGGTCGAGAGTTCCACGCACACACACACAGACACACACACACATATTTCTGTCTGTCGGCGGCGAGGCAGACTGGTTGCACCAGCGATGGAGCTCAACGGGGGTACCGAGAAGCGAAGTGTCCAGCATGTAGGAGGCGGAAAAGAACACTCACACACATACACACACACACACTTGTTCTGGGGCGCGACGCGCCCAGATCAACTAATTACCACAAACCCTTTATCAGCGAATGGCCAGTGAGGAACACACACACACACACACATTCACACACACACACACACACACACGTAGGATGCTCCCCATTCCCCCCTCCTCCTTCGAACAGAGAAGACGGGCACGGGGGGCGGGCGTGCGAGGGTGGATCCGGTCTGTGGGTCGCGCAGCACCGCCGACGCACCGGCGATGCACCAACGGCGTCGGTTTGGACAGAACATCGCGCTCGGGGCCAGGCCGCATCGAGAATGCATCGGCTATGCACGGGCGGGCGCCCTGCCACAGACGAGATCTTGAGCAGGGACGTGGCGGGGACTCGGAAGGGGAGGTGGGAGGGGGATTGCAGGGCTCCGCCGCCCACAGAGGGGGGGAGGGAGAGGGGGAGGGGGGAGCAGGGGGAGGGGGGGGGGGCGAGAGAGGGGAGGGAGAGAGGGGAGGGGGAGGGGGAGGGAGGGGGGATGGCGCAAACAGAGGGGGGAGGGAAGAGGGAGAGTACACCACCCCAGCGATCGGCTCGTCCACCCTCGCGCATCGGCGCGGGGCCAATTCCGGTCGATCACGCGTCTGGTAAGGCCAGCTCCGACTGGCTTTGGGCAACAGGGTTCCACTTCCGCTCCTTGGCGAGGCGGCTGTACTGTTCCCGGTAGAAGCTGGTGAACATCTCCTTCTTCAGCTTCCTTGCTCGGCGGCGCGAAAAGAAAGGGGACATGTGGACGGGGAAGGCTCCTTAGCAGGAGCCTGTCTCTCAGAAGGCGCCAGCAACACATCTGCAGACCAGACCCGCGCCTTCTAACAAGCAGGGAGATGTTGAGGGGAAGGCTCCTTAGCATGAGCCTGCTTCTCAGAAAGCGATGGCCTCACCTCTACAGGCAAAGCCCGCGCCTTCGAAGAAGCAGGGGTGCTTCTGAGAAGCCTCCCCCCCTGCCCCTGCCCCTCTCTGCGCGTGGCTGCTTTGCCGCGGCCGTCTTGGGGCGGGGGGGGGGGCGAGGCGGCGAGGGGCCCGAAAGACCGAGCGGGCCAGGGCAGGGCCAAAGTCGGCAGCGAGTCGGCGGCAAGGCGGATCGACTCGAACATGCGCAGCGGCCCGGGCTGCACCGGCGCGGGATCGCAATCGAGTCGGATCGGCTGCGCCAAGATGCTCAGGGGCACCACGCAAACAGCCAGCAGCATCGGATCGTCGGAAGATCGGAATCGAACCGTATCGGGCCGGCCGAAGTTGATATCGAGTCGGGTCGATCGGATCGAGATGGACCTTGCCTTGGGCGGCCATGGAACGGCGTTGCCTCCGCACACAAACTGCACCTCCGAGGGGCAGAACTGCCCTCGACATCTGCATGGGTTCTTCACTTTGTCTGCCGCGACGTTCGCCAAGCAAAAAACATGCAAAGGGCGCCCCTTGGGCAGAATACCCTAGACAGCTCTACACAGATACACGATGGGGGTCCACGATGTGGAGCCACCAATTGGGAGCCTGGATGGGCCACCGATTTCGGGGGCTGGGCATCCCCCACCGGGCGTTAGAAGAGTCGTATCGAACCCAGACAAAAGGCTAGGGAAAAAACGCCGCTATGAAGCACGGGCGGCACGGGCTTCGGACTCAATCTCCGTGCGGCGGGATTACTCAAGCCAGAACGATGTGCGCACGGGAGCACATACGGTCGGGCACTTTTGCTCAGCGTGTCTCGGCGGCGGCCCCGGCGACACGCTATGACCTGCGAGCGGACAGCGTGTCGCTCCGCTCCGCGAAACGGGAGGGACCGGGAAGCGGATAGCGTGTCGCTCCGAAGCGCGGTGGGCCAGAGCCAGCGGAGCGACACGCTAGCCAAAAAATCTCGACCGTAACTTTCCGACTCTCGAGACCCCCGAACCCCAAAAATGCTGCGGTCTCACGTTTATGCTCCAGTGGCCTCCCGCGGGCCTTTCGACAACTCATCCGCTGGCTGAGGCCTGCTCTCCGCTAGCGTTCCGCCCTCCTCCACCTTTCCTTCCTCCGCCTCCTCTTCCTCATCCTCCTCTTCCTCCTCCTCCTCTTGGGCAGACCGCTGGGCGGACTCCGCGCCTGTGGCGTCACCTCCTTTTCCTCCTCTTGTTCGTCTTCCGTATCTTCCTCTTCCTCCTCCTGCGCGGCGGATCCTCCTCCTCCTCTTCTTCTTTCATCGTTTTCTTATAAATAACGCTTTCCCGTCGCACTCCGAGACGTGCCTGTAGGGCCAGACAGACGTTTCGTCTGAGACTTTGTCACTACTCATGGCACTCAAGCTTAGAACTTACAAGAGCTTCACGGATGGAGCGAGGGTCGTCGTCGAAAGGTGGCTTTCGCCTCAGCGCCCCGCACATTCGTATTACGACTTTGCAGGAATCACGGTTTTCCAAATACGGATCCCACTTGAACGACGCGCACATTCGTCTTCAGTGTGCCCCGCAGTTTCAAATATTCGTACAGTTGAAGCGCCAGGAATGGAGATCTGGTGCGATGAATAATGTCAGGACGCAACAGTCACGTCCACTCACGGCGTTGAAGTCCCAGGAATGGTGATTCTTGCACAACTCTGGATCGTCACGACGCAATGAGTCGCGTTGATTCGCGGCGCTGCAATTCCAGAAGCTGTGTTTCGGTACGGCTCATGATTCTCAAGCGACTGTCTTCCAACAATGGCACTTGCCTCTCTGGAATAAAAGCTTCACAGAACATATGAGGGGGATCCTTGGGGGGAGGGTTATTTCAACATCGTCGACGAATCCTGGGTTTGCACTGGCCTTCTTCTTCCTCCTCCTCCTCCTCCTCCTCCTCCTCCTCCTCCTCTTCCTCCTCCTCCTCCCCCTTCTCCTCCTCCTCCTTTTCTTCCTCATCCCCTCCCCCTCCCCCTCCTCCTCCTCCTCCTCCTCCTCCTCCTCCTCCTCCTCCTCCTCCTCCTCCTCCTCCTCCTCCTCCCCGCCTCCTCCTCCTCCCTCCTCCTTCTCCTCCTCCTCCTCCTCCCCCTCCTCCATGCTTCTCCTCCTCCTCCTCCTCCTCGTCCTCCTCGTCCTCCTCATCCTCCTTATCCTCCTCGTCCTCGTCCTCCTCCTCCTCCTCCTCCTCCTCCTCCTCCTTCCTCCTCCTCCTCCTCCTCCTCCTCCTCCTCTCCTCCTCCTCCCCCGCCTCTCCCTCCTCCTCCTCCTCCTCCTCCTCCTCCTCCTCCTTTTCCTCCTCCTCCCCCTCCTCCCCCTCCTCCTCCCCTATCATCCTCCACTTTCCGCCTGCTCCTCCTCCTCCTCCTCCTCCTCTTCCTCCTCCGCCTCCTCCTCCTCTTCCTCCTTGACGCTGCCACCCTCATCCTCCTACTCCTGCTCCTCCTCACCCTCCTCTTCCCCTCCTCTTCCCCCCCCCCCCA